AGGTCTACGTTAAACTATGACGACTGAAACTAACCACCGACATGTTGCTAGGCTATCGATCAAGTACATTAATAATAAATGTATCCAAATATTAGATGAACTTATTATAATCCTACGTCTTTTGAACAAATTGACAACATGTCGTTTACTTCCAGTCATCTGTGACACTTAGTTGGCGGACTGACTGGCTACTGAGTTGTCAAGTTAGTTAGACCTATGCACGAAAGTCCGCCTCGCCGGACCAGTGCGTCGGTGGCATAGCGGTTAGGACGCTCGCCGACCATGCACATGGTCCGGGGTTCAATCCCCGGCCGACGCACTCCTTTACCTCGCTGAGCCAGAAATAATTCTGGTAAAGAGAAAAGGTTGGGCATGAGGCTAGCAACCTCATCCTGTAAAATAAACACTGCTACAGAAACTTCAAGCCAACTAGCTTGAAGCCCTATGTTCCACTGGGGAACGTGAAGGAAAAAAAAAAACGAAAGTCAGACAGTCAGTACAGGTAGGTAGCCCAGCAACAGCGTAGAAAGGAAAATGCAAAGAAAACTATACGGTGAATGGAAATTCACGAGAGGAATAATGTAATGGATTTGGGTGTTGATAAAGAGAGTGGAGGTACCTACCTGTTGCACTTCCAGTGGTTTTGAGCCATACTACAAATAGTTTTCAGGTAGTGATTGTTGGCGCCTTGACAACCTCAGTCAGACAGTCTACACTTCTCGACGTGAAGCGAACCGACAGTCTACAAATTCATGGACTGATGTCATGTTGTAGAGGAATAGGCAATCAGAAATTCCCTGCATGGACGATCTATCTACAATAGTCTTGCTTATTTGAATATTATTACCTAACTAATTGTGTAATTATTAACACCTTTTTCCACTTCACCTTTGAATGCTTCTCTTTACTATTATGCGATGATGGACTGTTTAGGATAATGTGTTCTCTTACGATTGAGATTCTGTTTGAATGAATTCAAGGCTACGCTGTATGGTGTTTGGTGTGTGTGTGTGTGCGTTTAAATCTTGACGACAGAGTTTTCATCCCACCTTGTTGGAAATATCCAATTTGATTATTTGGGGTGTATTTCTTGAGTTTTTTTTTTCATTAACAAATTTCTGTTGTACACTACTTATTTTGTACTTGTGAAGTGTATAGTTGCCGAAATGTGGCTTTATTCTATATCCCTGATAATTGTAGTATTGTGTTCCGTTGCTATGGTAGTTTAATAACAAGTTATATTTGTTTTCTGAAGGCTTTTTAAATAAAATTCGATATTAAAATTTTTTTATATCCTTGAACTGCACTTTGGTTAGGAAATCTTGTTTGACAGTGATATCTGCCTGATGTTGTCATGGATTCAAGGGGACAGTAAGTGCGAAATGTTAAGGTATATTTTTATTATTATTATTATTGCTATTGAATTTTCATTTTTTTATTTTATTTATTTTTATTTTGATTTACAGCTTGATTCCACACTGTATTTTCAGTACAAGTGTGGAATTTTCAGCATGGATATCGGTAGCCCAAATTCAGGCCGACCATAGATATCGGGTGTGCGCCGGTAGGGGATCGAACCCCGGACCATGTGCATGGTCGGCGAGAGTCCTAACCACTGTGCCACCGACGCATGGAATCATGCTTGTATATTTTGGCCTATTTATCTATGAAACATCCTAATACCCACCGGATAAAGGAGGTGGTGTCACTTCAAAAAAGGAATGTGCCACTATAATCGCCCCTTGCCTAACAGCGTTGTTGAGGTGGCTTTACATTTCCTTGATAGCATATTATTGATCAACAGTATATACCAAGGATTTTATCACATCTAACATCTTTTTTGAGACTGTGAATCACTCGAGGAAGTTTGATCCGCTATACAGACGAATACATCGATTGGTTCTCTGAATTCAGATCAAAGCACTTAGATTTTGCTCATTAAACATGTTTCGATTTAACCATTAATAACTTTGTTCTAACCTCATCTTATATCAGCTAATATTGTTTGATGAGAAAGGCAATGCCTTGTTGTGAGTAACACTGACTGACTGGTTTCAACGTAGAACTTTGAGCAGATGTGCAACAGTTCCAGTTGCCACAATACCTCCTAGTAGCACAAAAAGTAAAAGAAGAGAGTCAGAAGAGAGAGGCAAAAATAATAGTAATATGGAAAAACAATAGAATTTGATTGCATATGATAAATCACAAGGAGTGGATGCCTCTGTGCCAGCCATTGACAACGAGGATTCTGAGCCATGTCACCAATTGTCTCCAGCCTTCAATGGTCCTTACAACGTGGTCCCGAGGACCCCAACCAGCAGTCAGGCAGTCTACACCTCCCTACGTCACTGGCTGGCTGACTTAAACTAACTTTTGTGGATTTCATTGACTGATGGAGCCATGATGGTTTCTGTTTGACCATCACTAGCTTGCTCGTTCCCAACCTGATCCATTCTATGTCAGTGGCTGACAATGTCTGTCGGTCGAGGAAGGCAGGCGATGGCTACGCATGAATGCGTAACACATGTCCTAACCATCTCAATCGATGCAGCTGCTTCACCTCGTCGACTGCTTGATTGATTGATTTCCCCTCCCACTTACCTAGCACTCGACCGATGCCTTACCTCAATATTACTCATCCTATTATACCACCTAACACGGCAGACAGAACGCAGACACCTATGATGAAAGACAGCTAGTCAGACTTTTCATGTCTTCCACTTTCAATTGGCCATGTCTTGCTGACAGTCAGACCTAAAGGAGGACAGAAGGATGTGGTGGGCTGAGCAGTACACACGCCCTTTTGTCGATAGCCAGCCAACCGGATATCACATCTACTTAGCCAGAGATGGCGTAAGTTGGCTTATGCAACACGAGCCCACTGTCTCTGTGCTGAGATTTCGTCAGCGATCAACCCGCTGGCATTGGCTGATGCAACTTCCCAAATTAGTGAAGTGGTCAATACGCCCCACCAACCATTTCACTCCTGCCTATCTTTAAGTTAGCAGTGTGAGTGAGCCCTGTATCATCATCACCTTTCATTTGACAAAGGGAGTGAATCACATGCCGAACATGCAAAGACTGCTTTCTGATCAAGGTGTTCAGGAGACTCTGCACTTTGTCAGCATCTTCACTTAGGAGGGAGGACTATATCATCTACATATTCTAAGTCAACAAGATTATTCCCTGATAACAATGAGTAACATGTCTTCTGTAACACTCTTTCTTTAGCCCTAACTTATATACAAATACACAACAATCCATGATCGGACTGAACAATTAAAGCCACTAAGTAGACAAAAATCCTATCCTTCGTTCATTTTTCATCTCCTCTCTTTTCCTAGGACAGTTTTCAGGAATTTCATTCACTTTAGAAGTTATTTCGTACTCACGTCAACCAGCCATTGAAAAAAACAGCAAGCAAGTACTGGAGAGCTGTTTCGTCCTTATTTGGGACTCTTTGCCGGTAGGTACTCATGAAAATTAACCTATTCCACAGTCAGTAGTGACTGACTACAGGATGAATATGTATGAAATTCTGGTGAGAAGTCGCTATCATTGGGATGCACCAAATCGATTGAGAACAAATACTTGATTGAATAAATTGGTCGGCGTTCGCACTATATTTCTCGCATTGACAGAAGTTAGAATTCATCGGCTGGAGATTAGATTGCGTCCCAATGGCTGAATGGTGTAACGACCTCATCTTATAACCTGCAAGTGGCTGAAGGATACGTGTGTTGACGGATGCGTAGATTCCCTAAGGAGGATGAAACAACTGTCCAGCAGTCCCTCTCACACCCCACCGTGTTGGTTTTCAGTGGTTGGCTGTCTAACTGAAATCAGGATTTCATCATGAGCTGATATTGGTTAGAGAACCATCGGAAAACCATCAAGGAGTACTGGACAGATGTTTCGTCCTAGTTTCGAACTCTTCATCAGTACGCACCCAACTCCAGGGTTCGAACCCAAGACCTTCTGGTTACAAGGGGAACTAGCTCGTAGATTATTAAGCCACTGGAACCCGATCAGATGGTCCATGGATTCTACCTTCTGCCAATTCACGACACAGAGCAACCGCTAGCCAATGTCTTCGGCGAGTATTTGTCCTCACACCCAACCTGCTGCACCCTACTGGCCACGACTTCCCACTAGAACGCCAGGTAACTAACTACCTGAATAGGGCCAGTTGCTGAAGACATTGGCTAGTGGTCGTGCTATGTCGTGAATCGGCAGAAGTAAGAATCCATGGACTGGCCATTGGATCAGGTCCCAGTGGCTTAATCATCTACGAGCTAGCTCGCCTTGTAACCAGAAGGTCCTGGGTTCGAACCCCTGTGGGTTGGGTGCGTACTGATGAAGAGTCCCAAACTAGGATGAAACAGCTGTCCAGTACTTCTGGTGGTTTTCCAATGGTTCTCTAACCAATGTCAGCTCATGATGAAATCCTGTAACCAATCAATCAAATCCCTACAAAGCAACAGTTGAATAACTGAAATCACTTTATAATGTGATCAATTCTGAAAGCAATGAAGAGTTGACAAAGAGAACTAGACAGTATAAATCGGAATACAATTCATCTGATTGACAAGGATACTGAACACTGTCCTAAGGTTAAGAACTATGAACCTATGCGAAATGAACGCAAGCATATCCTATTGTTACTTCGATCCCCCCCCCTACTTCCCCACTAGAAACAATTAACACCTTGCAGAGCATACTTGTCAAGTTTGAAAAAAAATCAATAAATCAATGACAACACCAGAATATGTTTACATACATGTATATGTATATATATATCAAAACAAAACATAAGCTTGTTGCTGTTGTGTGTGTATGTGTATGTGTGAAAGAATGAATGAAGTACATTTTTTTAAATGTGTAAAATATGACAAACAATTTCATAGTAGTATGAAGAGAAATTGGCCTAAAAACAAAACAAAAAAGACAAAAAAAACAAACAATTGCATCTTGATTACATAATAAAAGTGACAATAATTATTATACTCCTGAAATCTATGAAAAAAGAGGTGAAGACGCACGCCAACACACACACACACAAATAATTAAAATCAAAGTAAATAAGAAGTAAATAATAATAAAACAAACACAAATAAGATAAGGAAAGATTTTGTAGAATCCCGAAAACTGTCAGTCTGTCTATCAATCGATTGATCAGTCAGTCAGGCAGGCAGTGAATGAATGAAATCAATGTGTGCTTACTGTCTCGTATATGTGTGTCTGCTGTCTATCTGTCTATCTATCTGCCCATTCACCTAGATAGAGATAGAGAGAGGGAGAGACATATCATCGAGTTATTCATTGTCAATGGGGGCTGAAAGGGATCCCTTAATTCTGTTTTTGTGTCTGTCTGTCTGTCAAACATCCATCCACCCACCCACGCACACACACACCTCCGCACACGTAGATGTGCACATATACATACATAGCATTAAACATGACCGGGGTGTATAAATACATACATACAGATTATTGTGCAAAAGACAATTAAAAGAAGATTAAAGAAATATGAAATATTATTAAATTATTTTCAATTATAATTATAATACTAGTAATGATAATAATAATTTCTATCATTAAAGTAGTATCATAGAATGAATAATCACCATCAACATGATTAGTAGTGGTAATTATTAGAATTAATAAGGATAGTAGGTTATCTAAATTTCTAATAACACATTGAATGTGGTGAAAGGATATTTTGAATAGTAAAACTGACAGCAACAGAATAGACAATTACATGTACACAAGTACGTGGGTACGCACGCATGCACGCGCACAAGCACACACGCATACATACACATACGACGATGTATGAGAAATTGGAAAAATAAAAGTAGCTGGACAAAAAATATGGACAACAATTTTCATGAAATTAATTGTAAAACAAAGGAAAAAGAAATAAAACAAGCAAAGAAACAATAAGTAAACAAATAAACGTAAATAAATCAATAAAAATATAAACTATACAAATGACTGACTAACTGACTGAATTACATTTTTTTTGTAAAAATATTTCTGTCATCACCATGTTTGTTTTAATAATAATAATAATAATAAACATAGAGAAAACATGGAGATAAGAAGATATGGCGCGTATGCCTGATTTGAAAGAAGGGGAATACTTGCGGGGTGGATTTGTTTCTCTCCCCCTCTCTCTTTGTTTATGTATCTGTCTGTGTGTTTGTGTGTGTGTGCGTGCGTGCTTGTGAGTTGCAGAAGATGTTTATGCAATTCATTGAAGCCGAATAAAGGGATTAAAAGAGTTAGTTAGTTAGTTATTCTCAATGGATGAAGTTTGGATAACCCTGATACCAACAAACTGGTCACATACATACCCCACCCGTCCGCACATACACACACACACGCACACGCAGACTTCTGAAACATTTCTGTATTCAAGAATGAATAGGTAGGTAGGTAGACAGGTAGGTGGCTAGCTAGCTAGGTGGAGAGAAAAGTACGTAAGTACGCGTGGACGTGTTCAGAGACAACAGAATCATCACATTGTAAAAATACAATGATAAACAGTGGTTCTACACTTCGTCTTCTTCTCTTTTATTCACATCTGTGTTTCATTGTGTATGTGTGTGTATGGGTGGGTGTGGCGGTATAATATCTTTGAAGTGTCTGTAAAAACAGTATCTGTGATAATTGCGGGACAGGTGTATACCACAGTACATGACAATCATCAGTAGTATTCATTATTTCTGACTAATATTATGAAAATTGCCAGTACAAGCATTTTGATGTTGAGGTTGTTGACAGTGGTGAGGATGCTGATGTTGCACGTGGTGGTGGTGCTGACAGGGCAACGATCCACTGGAGGATGAAGAATAGGAGGATAACGAGGATGATGATGATGCTGGGATATGCAGAATATCTGAATTCACAGATGGACTAGATGTAGTAGTAGACGGGGAAGGGGAACCAGTTGAACTAATCGCGATAGGAGGAATACGATCACAATCATAATTACAAGGATTAGGAGTAATCATCAGATTATTTGGTTTTATATCACTCTTCATTATTTTCTCTGAAGACGAAGACAATGATGCTGTACACATAGAATCTCTTGAAGGTATATTCAAAGAATTTGAATGGAGACAGGAATTCACTAGGCCACTACTGCTGTCAATCCCAGGAGCAGAAACACTGGAAAATGCATTAGATATTGAACCCGAGGAAGATGATATTGGTGTAACAGATGATGAAGTGAACGATTGAGGATGAGGATGAGAATGAGGAGGAGGATGGGGAGGGGGATTGATTAAATCGGACGATGATGATGCTTTTGACCTACCACCACCACCCCCACCAGCAGCAGCAGCGCCACCCCCAGGTCGTCCTCTAGTCCGTCCTCCACTACTGTTACCTCCATTTCTTGAATTATGATTGCTCGACTTCATAATATTTGTATTACTGTTACCATTATTATTGTGATGTGGGTATTCCGACTTCATATTCAATTTTATATTTGACATGTCTGACAGTGACATCATCCCCATCATTCGGTTATCATCATTGACAGTAGATGAAGACAACGACCTATTATTATTATTCTCATCATCTTGTCGGTGGTCGATACAATCTATCGCATTAGTAGTACACTGAGATAATTTATGCTCTGGCTTGGAACAATTGACTTCATTTTCATTGGAACCATTACTACTATTACTACTAGTCAATAGAACTGACAGAGCATCTTTAATTCCGTGAAATAGCATATTTTTAATTTGTAATTTATCTTCACGATTTAAATGACTCGGTGATAATTGACGAAACTCTTCTAATAGTTGGAAACATTGTGGTAAGTGTTCAGGTGAAACAAAATCTACAGCCGCTTTAATACAACTGTTTAAATTACGAACCTGTTGAAGACGGGAAAGGGGAGGAGAAAGAAATAATTAATAAATAAATAAATTAATTAATTACTAAATTAATCGGAGTTATATGAATTTATATTGGACATTAATTTATTGCCATGACCAGATATGCCCCCCCCCCAAAAAAAAGAATGACTATCTCATCATTTCATGAGAATTGACTACCAACTGTCGTCTTTCCATCAAAAGATGTGTTAGTTAGCGTAGGCTTTTGGATAAAGCCATTCATTCATTCATTAATCAGCTGTTTGCCTGTGATATTAGCAAACTGAAATCAACCAATCAGAAACTGTGTAACGTGCAACGCCTACGCACGTGTAGCAGGCAACTTACTTACTTACTTATCATGTTCTTTGATTGGTAGATTTCTCTTTTGCAAGTATCACAGACAATCAGCTGATTATCACATTTTGATGTAGGTGTGTTCTCTGAGCTGGATAGATTAAATTGCATAAGTTTCATTGTCATTCTAGACAACATTTTCAGTGCTGAAGAAAACACAATTACATGAAAATTATCTATCTGTGCCAAAAATCTTCACCATTAGTATAACACTACAAAATACTTGTGTTACGTGAACGCTTACGATACTGCTGCTCAGAGTTGATCAATCCAGAACAGAGTGACAACCGGGATCTAATAAATATAACTTCTTTTTAGTACCGTATACAATAAGGATTACTTCTTTTAGACAATGTATAGATCGATAGTTTCCCTTATTGATAAACAAAGCGTAGCAGAACATAGTCTATCACCTTGGTAGCAACGTTGGTTTTCAAGAGGTTTCATTTAGGCTAGGTGTGAAGCATGCTGAGAAGTATATGGCATAAAATTCGAGTGTCATTCAAGTTGACAAGTGAATCATCTTCCAGTATCGAGATTGCTAACCATTAACTATACAATCCCCTGAAACAAATCTATTGGTCCAAATTCCACAGCATTTTCTACTAATTGATTGTCATTAGAACGAAATATTTGGTTTCAGTTGATGTTTGAAGGTGTTCTCACCCATCTGACGAAACTCGAATAAGGACGAAATGCGTATCTTGGATTCTACTGCTAGTCATTATCAACCACCAAGTGACATCGATTAGAGAATCACTGAAAACCAAGGGACACTGGACAACTATTCCGTCCTAGTTTTGCACCACTTGAGCAGTATGCATCCATAATCTCACCAGGATTAGGTAAATTCTGCCTCGATGACTATATGGCGTTTGTGTCAAAGTACTTTTAACTTAACAAAGGTGTCAATCACACACCAATCACGTAATTCTCTCAAAGTGGGTTGATAAAGTGAAGTATCCAACACCTACGACTTATGGCCCATGACTCAGTTAATTATTTTATCACCGCAACGACAACACTATACACACCGGGTCAATTACCGCCCCCCCCCCGACACACAATAAGGTAGTTCATTTACATGTTGAAATAAAAGTACGAAACAAACAAAACAAACTCTAATCAATACACATGCGTATATTGACTAGTTATTAAGGTGTGTAATCATATCGTGTATGTGTGTAAGTCTTAATGCCACGTAAATTGCACCATAGTAACTAATCACTATATCTATTTACAACAGTTTTACATAAGGACACTCATAGCCAGAGAATATTTACCAATCTAAGTTAGGTGAATTTCAGTTACAGGATTTCATCATCAGTTGACACATCGGTTAGAGAACCATTAGAAAACCTCCAGGGAGTACTGAACTGCCAGCTGTTTTGTCAGCCTAGTTTGGGACTCTTCAGCAGCACGCACCCACCACAGGGGTTCGAACCCACGATCTTCTGGTTACAAGGCCAGCGAGCTCGTAGACTACTAGGCCACTGGGATCTGATCCAATTGCCAGTCCATGAATTCCAACTTCTGTCAATTCACGTCATGCGCGACTACCAGCCAATGTCTTCGGTGGTGAGTATTCGTCTTCACACCTGATCTGCTGCTATGTTGTGAATTGGCAAAAGTTAGAATTCATAGGCTGGCTGACCATTGCATCAGGTCCCAGTGGTCTAATGGTCTACGAGCTCGCTAGCCTTGTAACCAGAATGTCCTAGATTCAAACTACCTGTGGTGGGTGCGTACTGCTGAAGAGTCCAAACTAGGCTGACGAAACGGCTGGCAGTCCAGTACTCCCTGCAGGTTTTCCAATGGTTGTCAGCTCATAATGAAATCCTCCAACCAATCAAGCAAACACAATCTCTACAAACCAACACTTGAATTTCAGTTATTCAGTTGGTTAGACCTTACTGCTTGTAAATGTACTTGTGAAACGGTAGAAGACGAGAGACTTCGTAAGCGAATATTTATTTGGAAATTGGTATCTCTATATATACAGCCAACGCACCATTTGCACAGGTCTTTATGTTGTGCTACTACTTCTGCACTCCGTATTGTGTTTCTTTGTATTCGTTTCACGTCTCTCATATATATCTACACACAACGCTGTACCCCATTTGCCTTCTCTGTAATTAAATGCATCTCCCTGTTATTTGATGTTTTTTTATGCCAATGAACGTCGCTTTATATTACTACTGATAAATGTTATCAGTAGCACTCGTCACACTTGAAACCAATTTTATAAAAAATTTTGTAGATATCACAGCCATCCCATCATATAAATCATCTATCTTCGCTACATAGTATTGATTTCTACGGACAATAGTCACTTCTTCAAGTATTGGTTTGTAGGGATTTGGTTGACTGGTTACAGGACTGAATATCAATGAGATGCTCATTGGCGACTGGCCCTATTCAAGTAAGTTGTAGTTACCTGGAGTTCTAGCGGGAAGTCGTGACCAGTAGGGTGCAGCAGGTCGGTTGTGAGGACAAATACTCGCTACCGAAGACATTGACTAGCGGTTGCGCTATATCGTGAATTGGCAGAAGTTAGAATTCATGCACTGGCGATTGGATCGGCCTAATGGTCTACGAGCTCGCTAGCCTTGTAACCAGAAGGTCCTGGGTTCGAACTACCTGTGGTGGGTGAGTGCTGTGCTGAAGAGTCCCAAACTAGGATGAAACAGCTAGCAGTCCAGTACTCCCTGTAGGTTTTCCAATGGTTCTCTAATCAATGTCAGCTCATGATGAAATCCTGTAATAGTCACTTCTGTTAGACACACACGCTAGAAGGCGAAAGCATTAGAATTTAGCACAACTATGCATCAAATATATACATGAGGATGTGGCAAATGCAGGCAGGAACAAAATAGCAGGGCAGACAGAATAAGATTCGAACTTTCAGTAGTAACACGTTATTCTACGTAGTTCACAGATTTGGTTCATGCATCATCACAAAGAGCATTTCCAACAGGCTGCTTCAGACTTTTTTTTATCAACAGTTGCCTTCGTCGACACGATACTGAAGATTCGATGGTCGACTGGAAAGGATTAGAAGTAAGGAATTCTGGAAGGCAGCGAGTTAATCGAGCACCCACTGCGCAATGGAAATGGATCAGATGTGAGTAAAGAAAACCATTCGGTGACATTAGGAGCACTGCTGACCCTCGAGTTGAGGGTTGACATACAGGAGATCATATGACGAGTAGATGGATAGCTTATGAGAAGTCATGAACCCAGCTATAAAAGACTGCAAATAAAAAAGTGGAATGTTAATGTGCTGTTGAGGCTGTTTATTCTACTCGGAACCCAATGGAAGTATTTCAAAGGTTATACACTTTACCTGATGAGCAGCTCCAGCTGGAATGAATACAGCATCACCAAGAAATTGTACAATTGTACACGGTTGAATTCCTGCATAATCATATAATCGATCCAATAATGACTGATCCAAATAAAATAATTGATCATGTATTGGATCACTACCAGATTCTACAGGAGAGCCTGTTTCCTCTTCACTGACTCTGGAGAGAAATTCTCTTAATACAGCTGAATCTTCAGGAAGAAAAATATGCCATAATGCTCCAGGAACATCTTTAAAAAAAAATAAAGAAATAAATACATAAATAAAAATAAGGTGTAATTTAGGAAAATAAAATATATGACGAGCAGTATTAAAATCGGCTTTGTAAACACTCAGCAAGATGACGTTTCAAGAGGGTTTTCAAATTTCCCTACGCCTATTTTGTAATCTTAAGGTAGCATTGTTTCAACTACAAGGAGCGGGCACGGGTGATGATGTCCAAATCAGCTGGCCAGGGTCGATTTCGGAAAGCCAGACAGGCGTTCATTACTGTTAGACCGCTATGGACCAAATGTAAAATGATACTAAAGGACTGGACTACACACCGACTCCTAGGATAAAGATACAGCAGTGAAGTGACAGTTGAGTGTGTTGATCACAGTCCACTTATCTGGGAAGTTGTATGAACCCCAACGAACTGATTGCTGACTACATCTCAGCATGGATACAAAAGGCTTGTGTATGACACTTGCCAAGTTACGTCATCTCTGGCTCAGTAGACATGATATCCGGCTATCGACCAAAAGACGTGTGTACTTCACAGGAGTTCTCTCTGTTTTCCTTTATAGCTGTAAGACATGGAAATTGGAAATGGGAGACAAGAAAACGCCAGCCATCTTTGATCATAAGTGTCTGCGTTCTATTTTCCATGTTAGGCGGTATAATAGGATGGGTAATATTGACGTAGGCATCGTGTGTTAGGTGAGAAGGGAAAGTTAATCAACGAGATTGTGAGGGTAGAATATCGTCGCCTTCCTCGACAAGCAATGTTAGCTAAATTAGGAGTCATAATAGAGAAGATTTGTAGCTCAAGTGGATAATTTTGATGTGGTTGTGCTCACTGAGTTGGATGGTTTATTTGCGAAGCTTTCATTGCCCTACTAGGCAACATCTTGAGCGTATTATACTTCAGTTTGGTGAAGTGAGCTTTTAGATTTCTCCAAGAGTTTATAAGTCATCTCTCTTGGTGAGTGACCTTGAACGCCGTGATTGGTTGTCTTCGTGTGTTTTCACACCCTCTAGGCTACTTGTATTGGTATTGGTGTTGATTGTTTCCTTGACTTGATCTTTAACCCTTTGTGTGTGTGTGAGGTTTCTTTCTTATCGGTTGGTAAATTTTGTCTATCTCGATGTGTCTATTGATTGACGATTCACTGGAATACTAGGCGGGCTTCTAAAAATTCTCTAGCATTCCTCTGGCATTTCCTCTGTCTAATATTTGAACGCTGATTTTCCCAGTGGAATTGATGAAAGCTTCGCAAATAAATCATCCAGCTCAGAGAACACAACTACCACTAAAATGGGAGTGGATTGGAAAAAACTTCACATTAGTTGATGAAATCTTTGAAAGTTGGTTTTAGTCAGCCACATAGGAAGGTGTAAACTTCCTGACTGGTAGGAGCCATGCTGTAAGAACCAATGAAGGCTGGCGATAATTAATTCGATAAAGTTCGAAATTGTTCTCTCAATGGATCAGATGCATATTCACAAATTGTGATCTGGCATATCCGTTACTTACTTTAGTTTACTTCGGCTATCTCCTACGGGAGGATCAGCCGGCTTCATGAACATCTCGAATCATCGCTGCCCGTTTGTAAGAGAGTTCATGAAGTTTCATGGGAATTTGGTACGAGTGATGTCCCCAGAATCGCTCGGCCTTTTGTTTGAGAGTGCAGCTCTAGCCTTTACACAACCAAGTGTGACCTACAAGGCAGTAGGAGTGGAGTAGGGAGTCCACTATCCATTGGCGGCCGGTGACCGGAGTTCGGTTCATACGCCTTATTGAATGGGGCCAGACACCCAGGACATCCAACAAGCCCTTTGTCCATACGTCTGCCGGTGAGCTCCAGTGAGCTTCATACGCCAGTGGTTGGAGGTTTGGAATCAGGGTTTAGCCATCTCCCCTAGACTGTCATCCAGTGGACAGTCAACCCGGTGAAGAGCGCCGAGCATCCGCTTTCGCCCTCTCACTTTGATGAAAAACACCTCCGCCACGTGAAGGCAGTGAGTAGGACTTCCTCAGGGGAGGCTATGTAAGACGCCCGGTCATATGGGAACATTTCAAGAGGTGTGCGGAGGGGTGGCCAACCCGCAGCGCAAGGCACCCACCCCCGACCATCCTGAGACCATAATGTTTTTCCCTCACATTTCTGTTGATCATAGCGGTGCTTTGAAGCTGCTATACTATGAATATGTTGAAAGACATATATATATATATATATATATATATATATATATATATATATATGAATTCTCCGATTTACATTCTCGCGATGAATCTTTATCCGTAGATGATTTGAAGATGATTGACGTAGTTCAGTGAGGAACATATTATGACAAGGATCATTTCGTAGTCCCTCCACCCTGAAAGTTGGAAACCTGGGATTAATGAGTTAGCTAGACGAAGGCTTGAAAGCTTGAAACTTCGTAGTAGCATGCACAGCTCTAGGCCGAGAATGAGAAGTAACCCTATTACATCCCTTTCGTTTTCACAACTATCAAACATATCAAATCCTTTAGAGAAATAATCAGTTTTCATCCTAATATTTGACTTAATAGGGTCTTGTGCCCGTCGGTCGTCATCATCACACGGAAACTCCATTAATAAGATCCCTTCAGTGTTAGCGAGCCCAGTTTCTTTTCTAAGCGCTGAATTTCTGCTTTCTATCTCGCCTGAAACTCACGGAATTCTAATTCCTGTTTCTGTCTAAACCGATTCAGAGCTACTCTGCAGTTAGACCTGACATGATCGTTAACCAAACTCAAATGAGACCAATAACATGAAAATGAATCAAGAGGGAGTTGATGTGTTTCTAGAGGTACATCCGACAGTGCCATGTTCTCTTTCTCCGACGGCAGTCTAATAATGACTGAGCTAGGGGGTTAAAGGATCCTTGAACTACACTAATGTTTTCTCCATTTCTTTGGGTTCCAATTAAAACATCCAACTTCAAGCTTTAAAGGTTCAATAGGCGTAGTGGTGTTGTTTATACGAGTTGTGGAGGCGGCGACGAGTCTCACACCCACCCTTCTCCCTTTACTAGGCGTACAACCCTGTAGAGAGAGGTTTACGCGTGTCTCGACTGGGAATCGAGTCTAGACCTCCTGAGTAGGTAGAGAGCGTCCCCCCCCATTAAATCACCAAAAACAGTTATGCAAAAGTGTCTACATTGATAATTCAACTTAAAAAAATGTGAATATGAAGCAAGTCCCAAAGTTAATTTAGCTTATCTCTTACAAACAATCTAGAGAATATAATTCAATTGAATTTTAGATTTTCCCATCGATTGATTCGACCGAAGTACTCGATCTCAGGTTGACATGTCTGTGGGCTTCTTGTGCAGATGCTTCGATGATGTCTGACCATATAATTCAAAGTTAATTGGTAGATGGTGACTAGCAGTGGAGTAATCCAGGATAACGCGCATTTCGTCCTAATCACATGCCCAGATATCGTCGAAGCATTTGCACAAGAAGCCCACAGACATGTCAACCTGAGAACGAGCACTTCCGTCCAATCAATCGACGGGGAAATCTAAAATTCAATTAAATAATTAATTAATATGACCCGTTGCACAAGAGGTGGATAACGCTTTGGCGTTTGAAACTATGGGCACTGGGTTCGAGCCTCCGTGGTGGGAACATCATCCCTCAGTGACTGGGGAATGCAGACACATCCAGCTAGCTGACGAGTCCCAAATAGGACGAAATGCGCGTTATCCTGGATTACTCCACTGCTAGTCACCATCCATCTACCAATTAAAATCTAGAGAATAGCCTAATGCAAACTTATGAGGCGTGCATTTTTAATCATCATCTCAAATCATTAGCATGCAGAAGTATGCTAACACTAATATTTTAAATAACACCAACAAGAGCAAGAAAAAGAATCATCTTACCATCGAATCCAAATTCTCGATTATTATGATTATTATGACTGTGATTATGATTATTAGGATAGGATTTCAGTCGATTCAACCAACTGACAGTTCTGTCAAGATAACTATTATCAACACGTGAACACTTTAATGTGTTCAGTATATTTTCAGCATTGGATAGCATATCTTTTGATGAATCTATTGGTTGACCTACACACAGCATAACATTGACAGCATCAGCTATATCCACATGTAGATTTGTTGTACTGATCTGTTATGAGATGTATTCAAAATATTAAAAAAAACACAAAGAATGATATCCGTTATTTAGTTATGTTAAGTTATTTTGAAGGAAAAACAGATATCTACAACCAAGATAATTAATTCGCTTCCTTAGGTCAGGTATCTTCACACAGACTAAACTGTAAGTCACACATGACGTGAATAAAGGTTTTTCGTATTTGAGGAGTTGGAAGAGAAGTTAATCAATGCAGCTGGGAAGATACATCGATTGAGATGGTTAGGATATGTGTTATGCATAAAGATCCATCCCCTTCCTTTTATAAGTAATGCTAACTGATATACGGGTCGGGTTGGAGAAGAGCTGGCGATGATCAAACCTAAATCTGGAATCAATCCACTAATTCTTTGATAGCTGGTTTTGTAACCAGCCACATAATGAGGTATAGTAGAGACTGTCTGGTTGGGGACCCCGGAATCATGTGTCGTTAAGAATCAATGGCTAGAGACTACTGGTGAAATGGTTCAAAATCGTTCTCACATCGGTAAGACAACCATTGGAAAATCTGGGAGCACTAGACATCTGTTTCGTCAATTCGGCTTCGGACTCTTCATCAGTACGAACCCACCGGGATTCAAATCCAGGACCTTCGAGCTACATGGTGAACTCCAACCAATCGAACAAACAAAATCCCTAAAAAAACCAATACTTGAAAAATTGATCTGATGCTCACTAGCGACTGAATCTATTCAGGTAGACAGTTTTCTGCGGTTCTAGTGGGAAGTCGTGACCAGTGGGGTACAGAAGGTCAGGTGTGAGGACAGTTACTCATCGAAGAGGACATTGCGAAGTGGTCGCACTATGTCATGAATTGGCAGAAGTTAGAATTCATAGACTGACCACTGGATTAGGTCCCAGTGGCTTACTGGTCGACGAGCTCGCTCGCCTTGTAGGCAGGAGGTCCTGGGTTCGAAAGCCCCGTGGCGGGTGCGTACTGCTGAAGAATCCCAAACTAGGGTGAAATAGCTGTCCAGTACTCCCTGGATGTTTTCCAACGGTTCTCTAGCGAATGTCACCTCATGATGAAATCCTCCAACCAATCAAGAAAACAAAGTCCCCACAAATCAATACTTGAAAATTGTATTATTTGACTGCTCTGCGTTCTAAGTACAACAAAGAACTTCGAACTTCTCTTAAAGTTTCAGTCAACATGTTGGTGTTTTTTTCTTACTTTCTTTCATCTTTTCCAGACTAACTATCGTATAACAGGTAAAACGAGGTTTAGAGGGGTGCACCAGATGGGAATCAAACCCCAATCACTTGCATGGCTAACCGAGTATTCTGCTATTTAGACAATGACCCACATTTATATATACTAAAATGTTAACCAAAATGCCTATTGTATCTGTGTATATGATGAAACGTTGTAGACGTGTATTCATGAACACCAATCGCTGTTCTATGAAATACATACCGATTAAACTTGTCAGTTAGAACTAGGCTACACGGAATAGATTTTCTTTCAGATTTCAGGCTATGAACTACAGCTGATGCTACTAGTGGGCTGTCCAAGCTGAAGTACATTTATTAAAAGGATTAGATCCCGAGACTTACTGACTAAAAAAAGTAGAATGTTTAAGTCAATAAACTATATCTCTACAATTTTTGATTGTACACCGTAATGGCGAGCCACCTAGCAATGATGGACACATTGCAAGCTTGACTGATAGAATTCAGTCTGCAGCGAAGATAAGACTAGACACATTACACTAGTTACTGACTAGTGTACAATCAAAAATATCCAATACAATCCTACACGAGGTCAATCGCGAGCCTGAATAGCTGAGTGGTAACGTCTCTGACTGGAGCACTGGGTGAGGCGGGTTTGAATCCCATAGGAGTGGGACATGAGTTCCTTCGACGTTACGTATACGCCTTGCTGACTGATGAGTGCCAACTAGCACGAAACCTAGGTCCAAGGCTTCCTTTGGCCGATTGCCTCCAACCATCCAATATATCTCTACAATGAATAAACTCGTATGCTTTCGTAAAGGTATATGAAAGCTGATACCCACTATACAATAATTAGTTTTTGCACTACGATAGTAACCGCTTTCAGTGTTATTGTTATCCAGCCAACATTTCTAGCATCATAAGCCTCTTTTGAACAGTTGTACCAGCCAATTTACTTCACTGGTTCACTATCGCGTCTTGCTAACAACTGTAGGTCAATTGTTAGATTCTTATCACGATTCAACATCAGTTAGTGAGACCTTTGACGACCAGGTAGTAATTGGCAACTCTTTTTGTCCTATTTTTGGGGACTCTTCATCAGTGCGCATCCACGACCCTATTTCAACAGGGATCCAACCAGACTTGTAGACTATTCTTAGCCAATTGGATCGGAATTCAATCGGTCCGTGATATAGCACTTCCGCCACCAATGCCTTCGATGACCATCTTGCTCTACCTTGATATCGTGAACCCCAATGGTTACGACTTCACACTGCATCTTCAAAAGATTCCATGAAATAACCATCAATGAACTGGAGATTGGCTTTTAGATTGTGAAATTCACGGGTCACTGAACTCCAGCTTAAGTGGCCGAACTTTCAATAGGCTAAATCTCGTAACATGAAGGTCCTGGTTTCAATTCTCATTGATGGGATTTATGAGTGAGCACAGATGAAGAGTCCTAAAAGCAGGACGAAACAGCTGTCCAGTACTCCCTGCTGGTTTCCAATGATCTCTCCAGCTGTTATTGGTTCATGACACAATCTAAGAATTGCAATCAAATTAATCCAGATGCTCACAAATCCCATGATAATGACGATAATAATTGACAACAATGATTAAATAGTGTGCGAAAAACATAGCTTGTGTGAAATTTAATAGCATAGAATTTAATGTTGTAAAAAAGAAAAATTGATTTAGAATGACAAGTGGAACAAGTGAAATAATACCGGGGACAGTTCAAAATGAGAATAGTATCAGGAACAATTGACGTATTAAGGAGAGTATACAAATTGAATAGACAAAAGTGAAAAAAAAATGAAAAATTGGTAGAGCCAAAATATGATTGGGGATTACCATACTTTAGCATAGAGGGATTAAGACCGTGAAAGTTGGAGGGGTTGAACGAACTTTTTCTATACACAGAGATCTGGCTTTTCTGTTTCGATAGCCAAAGCTTCAGCAATACAGATGAGTCGGGTGCGTAGGGATTTGGGTAAATTACTCTTTGCCTTGTAGATGACTTTAAAGGCGGAGGCTATAGAGATAGGGTGATCATTATCGACCAGATGTTCAATGATCGCGCTTCTTATTGCTTCACTTCCACCTTTTCGTAACCATGCAGGATAGTGTTCTTGCACCCTCTTGGACAAAACTCGAGTTGAACAACCGATATACCTAGCTCCACACGAGCAGGTGAATTGATAAACACACATAGGGTTGGTCAACAGCGGGATCTTGTCCTTCAGGCTATTGAACAGTAATGGTGGACTGGTAAAGGCTATTCTCAAAGATGCAGCAGGGAATGTTCTTCTCAGGGACTGTGATATCCTTCGTTTCATGATATCGGAAGCTAAGTCCCCTTTGAATTCCAAGCTCATGTAAAGTAATTTCTTGGGTACGGTTGATAAGTCACGTTTTTTAGGATTTGAATTGTATTGCTGTAGCTTTGGCTATCGAAACAGAAAAGCCAGATCTCTGTGTACAGAAAATGTTCGTTCAACCCCTCCAACTTTCATGGTCTTAATCCCTCTATGCTAAAGTATGGTAATCCCCAATCATATTTTAGCTCTACCAATTTTTCATTTTTTTTTCATTTTTGTCTATTCAATTGGTATACTCTTCCTTATTAAGTCAATTGTTACTATTACTATTCTCACTTTTAACTGTCCCCGGTATTATTTCACTTGTTCCACTTGTCATTCTAAATCAATTCCTTTTTGCAACATTAAATTCTATGCTATTAAATTTCACACAATATTACGTAACATTGTTATTTTTTATTCGATTTGTCTACTGATCTTATAATTGCACACCCTTTTTCAAGTTGTATCCATCCTATGAATTATCCTATATATGTGACATTAATTTGCTTTGCCACTTGACATTTAACTACAATTATGAAAACATATCTGTCTATCGCTTAAAAAAACAAAACGAACGAACAAACAAATACATAACCAACTGAACTTACCGCATTTGAACCAACTGTCCCATAGGCTACATACAATTTAGGACCTAAATCAGGACAGACAAAAAATGATGCCAGTCTGGCGGCTAAATTCAACTGGCCATCACGTCGTGTATAATCTGGCATTGGTAAATTTGACATTAGATCTGAGAAACGTTTCGGTTGAAGTTCAGCAAAATCATCTGTAGTTGGCCAATCTTTAAGTTTTAAGCATAGAGCACGACCATCTTTACTGGTGATTCGACCTAATTGAAGAAGAAAATAGGATAAGATGCATAAATAGGTGTGCAAAGGCTGAGAACCTATCCTCAGAAAGTTTAATTCGTATATAACAGCAAACGAATATTTCTATAAACATCTCATTAAGCTGTCAGCCTGACACTGATGACTCCCTGAGGCGATAGTGCATGCAGTGAATACTTTCTTTTCATGCCTTATTGGTCTGGAGAGTCATCTTTCAACTTTGTTTGCATGAATTTGATCGATTTTAAGTCTGATCACACTAACTTAATCGCGAATTGGCAGAAATTAGCATTTATGAACAATCGAATTCCGTCCCAGTCGCTGAATAGTCAAGGTGTTGGACACTCATATCCTTAACTTCCTAGGCTCGATTCTCGGTAGAGTTATGAGTGCGTACTGTACTGAAGAGTCGAAAACTAGGACGACACAGTTGTCCAGCAGTCTCTGTTGTTTAACTGAAGCCAGTTTGTGGTCGAACTTGAGAATTTATAATAGTCGTGAGAACGTTTGTTTATATTCTTAGCACAGTGACCAATGCTTTAATGTTTCAAATGATGAGTTCTTGGTGTCGGAGTCTTAGTAGTGGGAGTACCACCATTCATGGATGCACCCACCTAAAGCAACGCGAATAAGAGGAAACATACGTATTCTGTTCCATTACTCACCACATGGCTAAATGAAATAATTTCCCCTCATTGATTCTGAATCATTTTGAAAACCGTTTTCTAAAGGTGTTAAAAATCGACTGACAGGAATCCTTGAATACAAGTTTTCAAACGTACTCGACAAAGTAACTGAAACAGTGAATAACAGGAGCTAAAAAACAAAAGGAAGGAACTGGCACAAAAGTTTATGCACCTCCAACAATGTTCAACTGAAGTTCTATAGTTCTAGAAGTTGTGACAAGTAGAGTTCACCTAATTAGGTGTGAGGATAAATACCCACCGCTGACACTAACTCTCTGTAACTCCATATATCTCAAACTTGTAGAAATCAGACTTCATAAGCCTTCGGATTCCCTCCTAATGGATGAACTTTAAGGTCACAGATTCGATCCCTGGAGGCGGAGTAACGGGCAAGTAAGTATTGAGGAACTGTCATAGAACTAGGATGAAACAGCTGTCCAGTTATTTCCAGTTTTCAGTGGTCGCTTTGTGGTGGTGTGATACAGACAGTAGGTTCCAACGGAATTTAATTATTCTTACAGTAAGAATCATTGTATTTGTTAGTGTTAACGTCTCAATACTATTCCCACAGTTCACTACTGCACTAACAACAGAATACTGTATGTATATTTGAACATTCTATTTCATATCGTTTAATGTAAACCAAAATCACACGCTCAGTGATTGGTTAGAGAATATAAACTGTATAGATATAAACAGTGGTTCGATCACTTGAAAATACACCTTGGCTTCCGTGTCTTGCCTTCTGCTGTTACATTTAGTATCACTGCCTGTCGACAAATGGAAAGCTTATGCCCTGCAGTTTTTGATGAAGAGACATTTAGATCTTCTGACAGGACTTCAACGCTGTTACTTGGAACGCTGCTGAGAGGTAGGGAGAAGATAGCGTATGATAGTGTGAGGCGAAACACCAGCGAATTCTCGTCAGGGTCACGAGAACTGCTTCCAAGGTAAGAAGAACCATACACGGTCACCACGAGATGGGGTCATGTAAATACGATTAGAAATGCAAACAAAGAGAAGCGGGTGAACCTCAATAAGGTTCAGAAACGGATACAGCAAGATAATCAAGAAGATCAGACTACATTCAGTCTAAGGTATTTGATGGGGAGGGGGGCGGGGACGATTGTGGTGATGTGATACAAACAGTGGGTTCCAACGGAATATATATTCTCACAGTAAGCATCATTGTATTTGTTGGTGTTAGCGTCTGAATACTATTCCAACAGTTCAATACTGCATTAACACCAGAATACTGTATGTATTTGAACATTCATGTCGTTTAATGCAAGCCAAAATCACACACTCAGTGATTGGTTAAAGAATATAAAACTGTCCAGATATATAAACAGCGGTTTGATTAATGAAAAAGACACCTTGGCTTCCATGTGTTGCCTTCTGCTGTCACGGCTTAACTGAAGTTAGTTGTTCAAGATCTGACTTAAAATGCTGAAGTGATTTAAACTTCTCTTTTTTTGGCATTGAATTCTATAGTCTAGACAACGAATCTACCGGCATTCCCTGAAGTAGGAAGGTATTTTTGAGAGAGAGAGAGAGAGAGTAAGAACCCAGCCAAGCCACTGTGGATTTACTTTCTTGTCCGTCTGTTACAACAGATACCCACTAATTCTCTCTCTCCCTCTTTCTGTCTCTCCGCCCGTCTACATGTGAATAATTCTCCGAATGTAATCGAATCCCTTGCTTATTTGTGGGTTTTTTCCAAATGAGTCTGTCACATGTACGTGCGTATGTATGTGTGTATGTATGCGTGTCGGTCGAATACATCTCAGTGAATGGTCATATTATTATGGACATTTTCATGCGTTTATTGTCTCTCTACATTATTATTATTATGTTGTTGTTTTTATTTAATTTCTTTGTTCCCAACTGATAAGAGAATTCGTTTTATGAAGACTTTTGTATGGATACATAAGACAGAGAGAAAGAGAGATCTCTATTCTATACTACTAAATAAAACCTTTCTTCTCTCCTACACATTGTCTATTCTTTACATCGCAAGAATGAAAGATGAATATATATATATATATATCATGCATGTCCAGTCCAGGGTGTATATCCAAATCGACAGAAGAATAAGAAATATATGCATAACAGCTATGTCTACCCACTGACCAAGTGCAAGTATTCATCATAAATTCATGCCGTTCGTTCTCTCTCTCTCTCCCTGTCTTCAACGCTATCAATAAAATACAGGACAAAAGTATGAATACAATACGAAAATATTTTTTTAGAAAAAACAGATATATATGACGTAATTTATTCCTCTTAGATTCCATCCCCCCTCTTTATATTTATATACGTTTCAAAATGTCCATTTAACAAGGATACTAACAGTGGAGATATCATCTAACTATTATATTCACCCTGGAATATAAAAATTCACCAACTACTACTATTAAGGACGGAAATTCTTTGAAAAAAAAGAAAGAAGAAAGATGGATTTGTCTTCATATTTCTCGCCTAGTCAACGATAGTCACCTGTCCCCAATCAACCAACCAACTCTCACTAGTAAAACGCAAATATGCGTGTAAACTAAAAGGTAGCAAAATAATAATAAAAAAACAACCTTCCTTTGTCATGAATATTTTAACCTACACAAAGAGGGATTAGAAATGATTACTGAATTGGAAAGAAGTATTCTCTGTGCTGTAGTGAAATTGACATAGAAATTCTGATGAAACTGTTTGATGAAATGAGGCTATACACTGCGGAGAACGTTTTATTCAAGAAGAAGGTTTTATAGGGATTTGATTTATTTCCAGTTTGATGTCTGATTGATGTCAGTTCAAGAACTGTTGAAAACGATCAGAATTTACTGGACAGTCTCTTCAGCAGTACACACCCACTGGGGGTTCAAACCCACGACCTTCTGGGCCCAAGATAAACTCATAGAACTCCTGTAGGTACGCACTAATGAAGAGTACCAAACTAGGGTGAAGCGTCTGTCCAGTACTTTCTGGTGGTTTTCAATAGTTCCCTAACTGGCATCGGTCCGAGAGTAAACTGGAAACTTCTTATTCTTATAATAATAATAATCTGTCTGTCTGTCTGGATTCAACATAGAACTTGGCACCAAAGTGCAGCAGTTCCAGTTGCCACGTTCCAAATAGCACACAAAGGTAGACAAGAAAATGAGTGAAGAGAATCAATAGAGTTTTGACAAGTACAAGAGTGAAACAGAATGAGTAATGGTAGAAAGGAATATGAAGGTTAAAGAGACTGAATACATCTGCGCCATTGACAACGATTTTGAGCCATGTCACCTATTGTCTCCAGCCATTGATTCTTAGAGTCCCGAGGGCGGGCCCCAACCCGGAAGTCTGCATCTCCCTCCCTACCTGACTCAGTTTAACTGTCAAGCATTTCATGGACTGATGCCATGTTTTTGTTTGGCCACCACTTACTCTTTCCCAACCTGCATATATATATATATATATCAGCTAGTAATGCCCGTTGGGGGAGGCGATGGTTAGGCATGCGTAGCACGTGACCTAGCCATCTCAATCTATGTAACTTTATAGCCTCTTCGATTGATTTTCCCTCTTTGCCCAACACTCTACACCTAACGTCAACATTACTTACCTTATTATACCACCTAACGTGAGAAAGAGATCGTAGACATCTATGATCAAAAACAGTCAACCTTTTCATGTCTTCGACTCGTATTGGCCATGTTTCAGAGCCATAGAGAAGGACGGAGCGAACTGCTGAGCAGCACACACGTCCCTTGGTTGATAGCCGGCTGTCACACCTACGCCAGAGACGGTGTAAGTTAGCGAAAGTAGCTCGAGCTTTTTGGATCCGTGGTGAGATTTCGTCACCAATCAGTCCGTTGGTGCTGATACAACTTCCCAAATAGGTGAAGTGGTCAACATGTTCTATCACTTCACTCCCTATCACTAAGCTAGGGGCGGACGTAGTCCAGTCCTGTAGCAGCATCTTACATTTTACAGGGGTGAATCGCATGCCAAACATACGAAGATTGCTGCTCAAGGTGTTCAGAAGACTCTGCATTTTGTCAGCATCCTCTAACATCCCCTAACAGGACTATATCATCTGCATATTCTAAGTCCATAAGACTATTCCCTGGTAACAAGTCGATTCCTAAGTCGTTAAGTTCAGTTAAGGATACTTCCATTAGCATATCTATGATAAAGTTAAACAGAAATAATAAATAACTAACAGAATTAAAATAAAAAAATAAAAACAGGTGAAGGTTGTGGCGGGGGTGTTCCTATCGAAATTTGAATATCTGCAGCTTACTGGTTTAGGCTCTCGACTTAAAACCTTTGGG